CCCTCTTGCTCAGAGCTTGTTTGTCACCACTCTGCAGTTTTACAGGGAGAATAACTAAAACTCTGCACTAGTCATTGCTCCAAATGTCTTTCTCAGTTGCCTTCTTTGTCATAAACCTACATTTTTTTTCTGTTAATGATTGTGCTCCTTCCCTTCTGTGATGTACTAGCCCAGGGAAGCTGTGGCTGCTCCTCCCTGGAAGTGTTCTCGGCCAGGTTGGATGAGGCTTTGAGCAACCTGGTCTAGTGGAAGGTGTCCCTGCTGCTGGCAGGGGGGTTGGGACTGGATCAGCTTTAAGGTCCCTTCCAACCATTTTATGATTCTAAATGGACCTTTTCAGTCTTTGTTTTGTGAAGATACAGTCCACTTGGTGGCTGGTTTCTCCCAAGCACCTCCTTCTCTACTCTGAAAGCAATGCAATACAAGGTATTCCTGCATGGGAGGTTTCTTCTTGTTCTTTGCTAAAGAATACTTGCAAATTGCAGTAAAATAATTTGTCCAGGTCGTTTGTTTAGAGTCTTTGGTTTTTTTATTGTGCCAAGAGCAAACAGATTGGTAGCAGTTTTTAGTGAGGTGTAGCTGAAACAGGAACGGTTATTTGCCTCACCAGTTCTGCTTCTAATACCCATGGCAGTGGAATACAAACAGGGGTCCTAAACTCATCTCAAGCACAGGCTTCAGAAAATCAGCATGGTTTGCTGGGGGAGATATTTTGTTCAGCAAAAACCTTTATGTTCTTGGCAAGTTTAATGCTGTATGAGATGACTTTACCAGTTGTCTTTTATATATTGGTAATAAATCAGCTTTTTGAACTCAATTTAGTGAGCTAGAAAAAGCCGTGAGTCCTAGTAAGCAATTAATGTAAATTAATTCTACAGTTCTGTTTTTAAATGGGTAACGTAACACTGAAATGTTTTAGAAACATTGAGGGGGCTTCCCAGAAGTATTATCTTTTTTAATTAAAACTAAAGGTACAGAGAGAAGATAAGTGTCCCCGCTGTGAGTAGCGCTTGTTTCTGTATCTCTTGTAAGTAGGTTATGTTTACTGTTCCTTATTAGTTCTGAAGCTCCAGGTGACTGGATCCTGCTGCCTTTCATAATAGTCCTCCTTGGTTTGTTTTGCAGAAGGTGATTAAATCAGACAGGGGTGCACACTGAGCAAACAGCGACAGTATAATTTTTCTTACACGTTATAAACTAGGCCAAAGGATGAAACGTAAAAGTACATGTAATGGAAATCTATTTAAAAAAAAAAAAAAGCTGTGTAACAAGTAGAGGAAATAACAAACCAGTGCTGAAATATAATACATGTATTATGTACTTCTGAATGAAAACATTAATTGCTTTTCTAGAGAAACATATTTGTGCTCAGAGACTGGCTCTGTTTTGACTACTGGAGACGTAGTTTGAGCTTTATCTTCAGCATTTCAAGTGTCCTCATGTCCAACTGCCTAGAGTTTGATGGGAGGGTGAAAGTGCTATTTCACTGATATCCCATGAAAGTAAAAAGCACCGAGTTATCCCTTGCATGGTCATTTTTTTATTTATTTTTTAAAATATCTTTTGTTATAAGCTGGCACAGACTTTTCTGTCTCTGTCCTTTTAAAGTGACTTGTCAGATACAGGCTAGATGTAAAAACAGCATAACAATAACAAACTGTTTGGTAAAAGACAAAGTTTTGAATTTTAAACTCTTAAAACTAAACCAAATATGAGAAATTAATTTCTCCTGCATTTAGACTTCCAAGGGGCTTAGTGAATGTATTTGACTGTATTTTAAGAAAAGATAATTTGATTTTTTTGTCTTTTATTCATTTGTCTGGAAATTTCTAGCAATATTGTCATTTCCTGTTGGTGTTTGCTTGTTGTTAGTGATGTTAGAGGTTTATTTGGTCTAATTAGTCCATTAGTCTTAATTAGAAGGAGTACTTCGGGCTGGAATCTCTCAGCTGTGCTTTGCTTTCCCTGGGGAGCAGTGTCCGTACCCCAGGCTCCCCGTAGGTGAGGGTAGAGCTGAAGATGGGGCTCGGAGGTGCCTAGGGGCTCTTCAGAGCAGATTTGACCTTCAGTCCAGGCAGCAGCTGCTCTGACATCAGCTCCCCAAGAGCCACAGACCATCCCACCTTCGGAGCTGCTCCCAGAGCCCTCCCAGCTGCTCTGGTGGGACTGGGAGCAGACACCCCAGCTGGGTTTGTCTGAGCAAGAGCAGCATGCTGCCTGAGACATGCTACCCCAGTCTGCAGGGCCAGAGTAGGGAGGAGAAGCAACCCAAGATGCACCAGAGTGTTCAGCATTTAGGCTTCATCTCTGTTATTTTTCATCCACCTTTGTCTGTTACAATCTGCTCAGCCTGCTGACTCCAGCTCACTGGTTTTGAAGGACCTGCAGGCACGGAGCGAGGAGTATGGAAACTCCCCAGCACGTTATTTCCTCAGCCTGGCTGGTGCTTTCACAAGTGTTCCTTCACCCTTCCAAAGTTCTCTCTGTGTTTTTGATTCTCTGGGGGATCAGTGTTGCTGCTGTAGTTGACCATGGCAGTTACTCCCACCCCTTCTCTCAGGATTTTCTGCTCAGTCCCATGTAAGCACGGTACATAGAGTAAGAAGCTAAAGGAGCACCAACCTGTAACAATTAATCAAAGCAAGCAGAGAGGAGTTAAACTAAGCTGCCACTGCTTTGACAGGGTATGAGTAGAATGTGGTTGTTAATAATATTTGTGCATCCTCACGGGCTCGAGAAACCCAGCGCACATGAAATGTGTGAGGACAAATGGAGTGTCAGCATATAAACGTGCACTTCACTTTTACACTTGACTTTCTTCTCCTCTGTCCTGGTTTTGCTGGGATAGAGTTAATTTTCTTCTTAGTGATTAGTAAGTAATTAGTAATTTTCTTCTTAGTATTCTAATTAGAACAGCTGTGTTTTGGTTTCAGTGTGGGATTTGGGATGAGAAGAATGTTGATAAGGTGCTGATGTCATGAGTTGCTGCTGGAGCTCGAGGCCA